CCTTATGGGGACAAAATGGAGGTCCCCATGTGGGGAATCTTAGGGTGAGGACTTGGTTAGGTTATGGAAGAGCGTAGGGTTAGGGTAAGGGTAAGGGTTAGGGTTAGGCATGTGTTGTTTATGGTTAAGGTTAGGATAAGTCTCCAGGAAATGCGTGTAAGTCAATGTAATGTCCCCTGAAGTGATGTATACATGGTATATGTGTGTGTGTGTGTGTGTGTGTGTGTGTGTGTGACCTCCCTGTAAAAAAAGGTGCAAAATTAAAAATATCATTCAAAGATCTAGTGGATGACACAGGCTTGTTGTGTGTGTGTGTGTGTGTGTGTGTGTGTGTATTCCACTTGTGTTTGATTTTGTGAATAAATGAAGCTTTCTAGTTTAAAAGTGTTGACCTTTGCCCTGTCAGAGAGGCTGTTTTAGCTGAGCTGACCCTGGATTTGGAGAAATGGACTAAACTGGAGCATAAAACATGAAAAGGGGGCCATTGCACTTAAAATGACACGGATAAAGACAAAGAGGGCAAGAGTTGTTTTGGTTGTCTATTGGATTACAGTTCATATGAAGTCTGCAAAACCCATCAGGGCCACACAACCTTGCTTTGAATAAATGGGGTGTAAGTGGGTGGAGGGAGGGGTGACGGGATTAAATGCCATATCGGTCAACAACTATTGTGACATGAATTCTGAATCATGTTTTTAAACCTCCTGTCGAACTCATAGTATTTAGACAGCATCATAAATGAAGGCCAGAAATCACTATCAGATACCTAATGAGTCGTTCGCGCCGAAAATAGCAGCAATTGCGTGAAAGTGCAACATGCGGGTTGACGCTCGCAGCACTTATCATAATAACAGCACGCCGTGATTCCAGTTTTATAACAACGCCTTTCTGCTAATCACATAAAGTAAGGAAATATGACGTCACGCAGCACTACATTTCATGCTCTTTCTTCATACATAAAGTGTGTTATTGGAACAGTAGACGTCCAGGGCGCTTAGGATATCTAGGATGCATTACTGTATATAGACATAACACCTATTTAGGAGGAGATTAATGCAGACTTTTAGGGTGCTTCGGCCTGTGGGTGGAGGGAAGAGGTTAAAACCGAGGGTCCATTAAACAGGCCTGCGACCCAATTCTGCAGCGACGGGGGGGGGATTATAACACAGGGGGGAGTGAGAGTGTTAATACTGGGCTGTAAACAGTACTTGGTTCCTAATGCACGGGACAGAGGAGGGGGCTGCACTGGTTGTAATGGGAAGGATAAGATGGAGTCGAGTGTCACCGCGCCGAATGATTAAATGATCTCTCGTTGGATTACTATTCCATATTCTAAATGGGGGATTTTTTAAGCTTCATAAACAAATGCACTCATTTATGAGGGATTAACGGTAATCTCTCTATTTCTATCCTTTTCCCCTCCTGTGCACCTCTCTCTCTCTCTCTCTCTCGCTCTGTTCCAGTTTCTCCCTCTCTGCCTCAAAGTGTAGTTTCTGACACAAATGTGCTTTTACAGTTTCCTTCTGATGGGCTGCCGTCTAATCGCTCATTTTATCACATGCTCGCACTACTGACAGGCCGAAGCGTCGAGGAAAGTATTACGATGTTTTTTTAATCAGGGCGTGAGGTGATTACTTAATAGATTACACAGCCTTTCATCTAACTTTTCTGTCCTCTCTTTGAGCCCCTCACTCGTGTGTCATATAGTGTATGAAGCTCATGTGAGATCAGTATAGACTCATATTGATTTATTTTGTATTCTTTTGATATTAAAAAGGAATTGATATCAGCTGCCTTTTTTGTTGTATTTTCTTTTCTTGTATAAGATTGTTTAAGCACTGTGAAAAGCACTATATAAATATAATGTATTATTATTGTTATTATGAAGTGGCTTTGAGTAGATATTAGGGCTGCACGATATTGGAAAAAACTGACATTGCGATATTTTTTTCCCCTGCGATATGAAAAAATACAGGAATTGAAGAAAAAACAGTTTTTTTTGTCCGCAAACCAACCTTTCTTGAACTCGAGTGCGCTAGAATTAGAAAATACACAGCCGGAACAAATCTGCCACTTCCTTACAGAGCCCCTCCTCCAACACACACGAACGTGCACATGACCAATGAGGGCACGAGATAAGTTTGTGCACAAATGGAAGGCTGACAGGCAGGTAGGCCATCCAGTTATTTTAGTCGGGCCGGCTAAAATGATTGGTCGTGCTTTTTACAGTACTACGGCTTCTACAGATGATGTTTTTTTATGGATTTTTTGTCAATGTCGATGAAGGATTTTAGTCACGGACTTCTGGATCTTAAGTTATCAGAGCAACAAGCTGAGCTAGCTCGGTTATCCTGCTGTGATCTGATCAAGAATGATTGTGATTGGTGGTTTGCTGTGCATGCAGAGCCTGCATGTCACTCACTCACGTACCCCTGACATGAGAGCCGCGCAAGTTTTCCTTTCGTAGCAAGCAGCTAAATAATTGTAACATGACGTGTTTGAGTTCATTTGCCTACTTAAAGGTCCCATGTCATGGCCATTTCTAATGATCATAATTCCATTGTTGAGGTCTACTAGAATAGATTTATATTGTGCAATTTTCCAAAATCACATTGGTTTCTCATACAGCATCTCTGTAAAGTATGTGTATGCACTCTCTGTCCTACACGGCTTGTTGGAGCTCCTGCCCCCCCCCCTCCCTGTGAGCCCAGTGTGCTCTGATTGGTCGGGACGTTGCGAGGCTCGTTGCTGCGAGCTGCTACGAGGAGCGGACAGTTTTCCGGGTCGGTGATACAGCGAGAACAAGCGAAACTCATCCTGAGCACACACAAACACTCACAGCCGAAGTAACAACAATAAGTGTGGCTTGATATTGAGTAAGAAAAAGGTTTATAACGCTGTGAGAATGGGTCTGTGGAGAGCATTTCTCCGCCATCCCAAATCGTCTATTACCAACCAGGGAGCTCTATGCAAGTCAATGGGGACTCCCTGTTAGTTAGCCACTCTGCAGACCGTTTACATGCATAAAAACCTTCATAACACACAAGGGGGCGGGTAATAACCAGAAAAGCATGACATGGGCCCTTTAATATCGCACGTCCTAAAAAAGAAAAAACGAAAAAAAAAGAAGTCCTGCGATGTGAATATCGCGCATAACGCGATTATCGTCACGACACATCGTGCAGCCCTAGTGGATACTGAATATTTTTATTTTTTATTGCCATTTTTTGAAGTGCTCATCATGATGTTTTCACAATTGTTAGGTCTATTAATTGTTTAAGCGGTTAATGAAGGACTTTGAAGTATTTTACTGAGCCACAATGTTTATATATTTCATATTCTTGTATTTAACACATTTCTTTGTATCTCAGAAACAGGGAGTTGCTGCTATCTGCTGTTAAATACTGTTGTCTGTGCATTAAAACTCTTCTAACACAGTTTAGGCTTTATAATAACCCATTTATATTAATTCAGTTAGTTATATGTTAGTAATAAGTTGTATGTTACTCATGGTACATCAGTATAGAGTCATATTTCTTCCATTGAATTCTCTTCAAGTGTGATATCAGCTGCTGAAGTAGGGCGATTAATTGTTTTACCCGTAAATTGAGGCCTATAATTTATGTATCAAAGTATTTTACTGGCAGCAATTACACTAATAGTTTATTTATATTATATTTTCACACATTTGTTGTATATCAGACACAAGGACATCTGCTGAATACCGTCCACTAAAACTGCATTTTTTATTCGATCAAACCAAGTTAAGGGTTTTGATTACCCATTCATAATGAGTTGATATTTATTAAGTTAGTTGTGTGTTAGTAATATGGAGTTTAGTACTTATGCGACATCAGTTTTGAGTCATATTTACTTTTCTTTTATTCTCGTCATTTTTAAAAGGGAGTGATCTTGGTGAGTAAAGCTGCTAAAACCAAAGTACATTAGAGGGAGGAGAGCGTTGTGTTTTCTTCACAAACCTTCAACACAGACAGTATAAATACAGCAGACAAGCAGCTTTACATAAAAGGGCAGCAGGATAAATCAAATGACTCAAATCTTTAAAATCAGGTGATGAAAGAAAGAACATCCATAATATTCATCTGTTTGCAACTTACAAATTATTTATCTAATATATCATATTCCAATTACTTGTATATAGACTCTCCTTGCACTATGTATTCTATAGAGAGGCGAAGTCCCTCCCTTTCCGGGGGACCTCCATGGGACCTTATATCGGAAAAAGTATGTGTTGAAGTCAATGGAGAGAGAAAGATTATCTCTCGATCTCGTTTGAATTGAGCCACGAATTACACATATGATGTTTGTCGATTTAAAAGATCATTTTGCAAGTCAAAAAAAAAAAAATGTGTCGTAAAACTGTGAAGTAACACATTTTTTGTGTGAAACCGCTCAATGAACTACATCTCCCGTCTCGCACCACACACCAAGACGGCCGTCACGTTGGCACATTTCACTTCTTTCTTTCAGAATGAGGTGAAAAGTATTAAAAGAGGTGAAAATCACTCCAAGTCTGGGCATGTTGAGAGCTGGACATACACACAAGGGGAGTTAGTCGGTTCATAAGAGCCAGCATGCAGGACCGGGACTCTGGGATTTGTAGTCTTTCTAGTTGCGTATTTTTCATAGTCTTATATTTCAACAGTTTTACGACAAACTGTGACTTTTTTGACATGGAAATTATTATTTAAGATTGACAAACATCATATGTGTAATTCATGGCACAATTCATACGGGATCGAAAGATAATCTTTCTCTCCCCATTGACTTCAATACATCATTTTTCCGAAAATAAGGTCCCATGGGTCGGAAGTAGATGGGCGGGACTTCGCCTCTGTATACTTGCACTATTTTAAGAAATGTATCTGTCTTATTACCTGAACTTTTGAAAGAACATCCATAACATTCATCTGTTTGCAACTCATATATCAATATTCCAATTACTGTATATAGACTATTCTGCACTGTTTCTATTATATTCTATTTTATTGTATTTACTTGCACTATTATCTGTTTTATTGTGTTGCACTGTTGGAGGAGCCTGTGACCTAAGATTGTCATTGTCATAACTACACTGTAGCTATGTACACATGACAATAAAAGTCTTGAAACTTGAAGTGATGGATGGTGTGATGGGCTGGTCTATTGAAGTGGATGCAGAAATGAAAGTGTGTTTCAGTGTCTGAGGGTCAGTCTGTGGTTTGTTGTGCCTCTCACAGCTCGTCTCTCGCCCCCGTCACCCTTCCTCTCCCTTGACGCGAGGCCTGGCTGCGAGCGTTCCTCACGGGCGAGGCGCCGCCCTCCTTCTCCTCTTCCTCATTTTTCACCACACTCTGTCCACCTGCAGCCCACATGGCCGCGGCCTCCTCTCGCTCCTGAGGGAGGGAAACAAAAGCATGACAAATATATTGATTTCCCGTGGCCACAATGGCAAGAAAAAGCACATTCGGAAGGTACAACAAACACATTTTGGAAGAAGTGTGATCCTGAGTAACGCTATGATAGACAGATAGACCATGCAGAATTTGAAAAGATGTATTTTGAAAAGTACAGAAGATTGTATATAAATATATAAAGACTGTATATTATATATATATATATATATTAGGGCTGTCAAGTTAACGCACATTTTTAACGCCACTAATTATTTTAACGTGCGATTAACGCATGTGTATTTGCACATCACAGCGCATTATTTGGACCCTAGTAGTAGTAGAACTTCAGTCTCATGCTTGACTGTTATGAAGACAGAGGAGCGGCATTTCGCCGACAACTGTTAACAGGCTTGTCTGTTTGAGCAACTGGCTCAGTGCAGAGAAGTAGACAGGGTTGGTTGGGTGAGGGTGAGGGTGAGGGTGAGAGAGAGAGAGAGAGAGAGAGAGAGAGAGAGAGAGAGAGAGAGAGAGAGAGAGAGAGAGAGAGAGAGAGAGAGAGAGAGAGCTTCCAGGTTGTTGAGTTGAGATTATTCAGGAGAATATTTGTCATTGTTCCAATGATAATCAACAAACATTTGCATAAAGCATATGTGTCCACTCATATGTTGACAAGAGTATTAAAAACTTGAAAAATATTCCTCTAAGGTACATTTAGAACAGATAAACAATGTGCGATTAACTATGGACATCATGCGATTAATCGCGATTAAATATTTTAATCGACTGACAGCCATATATGAAAAATATATGAAAATGTGGCAAATACATTTTTGGAGGCCAAACTCTGTAGGGAATCACATGTTTTGTGTCTTAATTTATACATGGACAAAATATGTTTTTTTTTTTTTTGGTTCAGTTTTGATTAAATATCCACTGCATATGATAACATAGTATTCAATTTGACAACCAAGGCAAACATTGTGTACGTTTATTTATAATGCATTTTACTTAGTAATTTGTTTAAGAAATACATTAACTGTCAATCAATCAAAAATGTTGTGTTCCTTTGAGAGGAATAAGGTCATTTCTAGATGAATATTTTCTATATAAATGAGTCTGTAGCCTCACCTTAACAATAACCAATGACAACTGTAGGATAATGGTATATATGAAAAAGTAGGGTCACGGTAAATCAAATAGAAAAGACTAATAAAGTCAGCATATGATAACCCTAAAGAACACTGCGGTATGACAGAAGGCTGCCGGGCATTGTGAACGCAGAAACTGGAGAACAAGCCACCAGATTTGCATCGCACTCCAGCTGGCTCTTGTTATTCAACACCGGAGTCACGACACTAACCACCGCCGACTGCAGGCGAAAGGTCGGACCTGAGGAGGAGCTGAGAGTCCTCACCAGAGATGGCACAAGTACACACATCCTTTACTCAAGTAGAAGTACAGATACTCGTGTTTAAAAATACTCTGGTAAAAGTAGAAGTACTGACTAAACTTCTTTACTCAAGTAAAAGTAAAGAGGCTTTGAAATGTACTTCAGTAAAAAGTACCCATAACTAGCAGCTGTTTTAAAGAGTACCTGACCTCCCTTTATATTAATAGAACAATAATGTCATTGTTAGCTAATGAATGTTTCCATGCTGAACAACGGCAACATGACAACGTTTTCATTGGTCCCTCTTCTTTAGAGAAGACCAGGAAATGATGGATACACGGATCGTGTTCAAATCAATAGGCACGCAATGACTCTAAATAATAATGATCACGCCACCAAACACACATTCAAACTAAAGGAACCAGCCTGTTTGGGAAATGTAACAAGTAGAAAGTTCAGGTATTTGTGTTCAACATGTAACAAGTAGAAAGTACAGGTATTTGTGTTCAACATGTAAGAAGTAGAAAGTACAGGTATTTGTGTTCAAAATGTAAGAAGTAGAAAGTACAGGTATTTGTGTTCAACATGTAAGAAGTAGAAAGTACAGGTATTTGTGTTCAACATGTAAGAAGTAGAAAGTACAGGTATTTGGGTTCAAAATGTAAGAAGTAGAAAGTACAGGTATTTGAGTTCAAAATGTAAGAAGTAGAAAGTACAGGTATTTGTGTTCAACATGTAAGAAGTAGAAAGTACAGGTATTTGTGTTCAACATGTAAGAAGTAGAAAGTACAGGTATTTGGGTTCAAAATGTAAGAAGTAGAAAGTACAGGTATTTGTGTTCAAAATGTAAGAAGTAGAAAGTACAGGTATTTGTGTTCAACATGTAAGAAGTAGAAAGTACAGGTATTTGTGTTCAACATGTAAGAAGTAGAAAGTACAGGTATCTGTGTTCAAAATGTAAGAAGTAGAAAGTACAGGTATCTGTGTTCAAAATGTAAGAAGTAGAAAGTACAGGTATTTGGGTTCAAAATGTAAGAAGTAAAAGTAAAAAGTCGTCAGAAAAATAAGTAGTGGAGTAAAGTACTGATACCAGAGAGATGTACTTAAGTACAGTAACAAAGTATTTGTACTCTACTACTTCCCCCCTCTGGTCTTCATCGTGCTCACCATGTCTCTGTACAGCTTCTCTTTGGTGAACCACAGCGCCAGCGCACACCGCCGGCCGCGGGTCACCGCTGAAACACCGTGAGGGTTTATGGGACCCGAGGAGAAGCCCACCAGTCGTCCACAGCTGGGCTTCACTCGAGCCTGCAGACAAAGAGGAGGGAAAAGGTTTAAAGGTCACCTATTATGCAAAATCCACTTTTTCACGTCTTTTCTTCATCAACATGTGTCCCCTCTGTGTAAAGAGATTCTGAAAGTTTCAGGAAAAAAGATTCTCTCTCTTTTTGTCCTGATCCATTTATATAAAAACCTGTCTGAAAATGAGCTGATCAGATTTTGGCCACTTTATGATGTCATAACGATTTTTTTGGCTTGTGTCACCATTAGCCAATCACCAACCAAGGTAACCCCCCCCCCCCCCACCTTTTCACCTGAATCTCCTCCGAGAGCACAATTGTGTTCTTTTTAACCAAATCTCTCTCAGAGGGGCGTGGGGAGGGGCTCCTTATTTTCATCTAAAGTAACAGACACAGAATCAGCACTTTTGAAGCAGGGCTGAAACAGAGGGGATTATGGGATGCTGCAATGATCTGTTTGGTGTTTGGAGCCAAACACTTCAGAGACATGTTCTGTATATATCTGAGACCTGTAATATATTGATGAAAAACAGTATAATAGGGGACCTTTAAGGGAGGAGAGCTCAGAGAGGAGAAAAGGGACTTACTGTTACTGTCTTTGCGTCCCTTTTAGTGAAGAACAAGTCTCCTCCATCAAAGTTGTCATTCAGGTAGAGAAGGGCACTGTGAGAGAAACAGGATTAAAGCATTGTTATTAAGGGTAAAGAGGCCCTATTGGGCTTTTTGTGGTCTTCCCGTTCCAGTTGAGTGTTAAATAGGTTGTTGTGCATGTAAATGGTCTGCAAAGGCTAACATCCCAAAGTTCCCTCCAAAGGAAGTTTCTGTCCCACACACACTCCCCCCCTGCCTGAAATGCCTCAATTGGACTCCTTTGTTTACTTCTGTAACATAATGACATCACTATTTAACACTCACACTTCTATAAACAAGCGCTCCAACACATTGGATAGGCTAAGGGGCGGGACATCTCTAAGCGGTTGACCAATCACAACAGAGCCGGCCAGCTATGTCACAGTAGAGGCTCAAAATACAAAATACAAATATGCAAGTAGCAGAATATGTCCTCTTTAATAACCTTTATGGGCCTAGTAAGGTTGTAATGTATATATAATCTAAATATTTAAATGTAAGAACCTTGTTTAGGCTTTTATATTTTTAAATGTAATATCTATTTTTTTGGTAGATTTGCAAAGCATTACTATCTTTTCTCTCTCTTTGGCTTTGCCTAAATTGACCCTTTGTCAAATATGAATCCCTCACCCTGTATTTCTTTCAAAAATTCATAAACAATTAAATGTAGTAAATGTGGGCTTAGTTTACCAACAGTTAAACATTACATTACATGTTACTTGTTAGACGCTTTTATCCAAAGCGACTTTCTCAGGGACACAACGACATGCTGACTGCAGTGGGGTTTGAACCTGTGACCCCCTGATCCCAACACCAACGCACAAACCACTGCGCCACACACCTCTTGAAACACCATTTACACACTAAAACACATGTCTAATTTATCCAGTCTTATGCTCATTGCTTCCCAAATGCATTTTCACTAAAACCTGAATATTTCAAACATTACTGCATAAGCACTCACGCTGGTGGGGGCGTGCTTTTCCTTCGTGCAATTACTGTGTTTTAAACATTAAGCTCTTCGTGAAAATGTGTTTGGGAAGTCGTGAGTACACGACTAGATAAGTGAGACGTGGATTAAACTGCACGGGTTGTGTGAGAGTTTTTAAATTAATGTTTTGATTTAGTAATTTCTCTTTTAAAATGAAAGGTCAAACAGGATTAGTGATTGGTATACAAATGGTTCTTTTTGGGGTGAAAGAAATCTTTCTTGTTCGCGCACCTGAGGTCTCTGTGTATGAATGCCGGCGGTTCTCTCCAGCACTGATTGGTCTCCGGCTCAAGCAGACAGTTGTCGACGTGGACAGGATGAGACAGGTCCAGCCTGCCCTCCTGATCACCTGAGGACACAAAACATTACAAATAAATTATTTGACTCCTGAAAAACGCATTTAAGTTAACCGTATATGAACATTTCTGGAAAACCCTGTAATTGTCTTAAGGCCAGCCCGATTACATTTCCTCCAGCAAGTAACAATGCTCAAGAAAGATGTTATTGGTAATGTTGGTGTTAACCTGCGATAGAGAAAACATCAGACAAAACTATTTCACTCCCAAAAAAACACATTTAAGTTAACCGTATAAACAATTCTGTGAAACCCTGTAGTTGTCTTTGTGCCAAATGGATAACCCTGTCATATTTCCGTCAGCTAGTAATGATGAGAGAGATATCATACATGTACATAATGTCGGTGTTACCTGCGATAGCGCTGCGGCAGACCAGGTGTGTGAAGGAGGTGTAGAGGATGGAGGGGCTCCTGAAGTACGAGTGCAGCAGGACCTTCACTCTCTCTCCCAGCTCGTAAAACAGCCGGGCGTCTGTCTGGTTCACCATATCATCCTGAGCCAACTGGGAGACAAGAGGATGTTGAAAAAATGGTAGCTTTATTAATGATGTTCAAGCATGAGATCCCAAGTGCACACTAATATATGATGATGCTTAGTTATTTCATTTATTCACATTTAGTTCGTTCATTTTGAGTAGAGGTTATTCAGGTTTGCTCTAAAACACGTCATGTTTTTGAAGGTTTGGTCAATTCTTCTAGTTTATTTAAAGGGGACCTATCATGCAAAATGCACTTTTTTATGTCTTTTATACATAAATGTGTCCCCGGTGTGTCAGGGAACTCACGCAGCGTCAGAAAATAAAACGCTCTCTCTTTTCCTCCGTACCCAAATCTCTACAAACGGGAGCTGATCCAGATTTGCGTCCGATATGACGTAATATCAGAAACGTTGCTATAGATGAGAGTAACACCTACGTCACTTCCGGGCAACAATTACAGCCCCGCCCACTTTAGGGGGAAAACAACGCTGTCATTTGAATGGCGGTCAATACAAATTCTGAAGTTTTTGCCAATCCGATCAGAAATGTTTGAAAACCGTGGATTTGTGGATCTTCAAAGAGCCCGATTACGATGGCCAGACAGGCAAACAATTACATTAAATCATTTGAAATCGACAATCGGGCTCGATATATGGTTAAATTCAAATCAGCAGGCGAGGCTGTCATTTCTCCAGCTGTTACTCTCATGAGCGAGGAGGAAAATAATAGTTGTATCATGCCAACAAGCTGCTGTGTCGTTTATTGCACCTCAAACATTAAAACAAATCCAGAGGTCAGTGTTTCTGTACTTCCTCTAAGAACAAAGGACAGTAAAAGTAGAGCTCTGTGGCTTCAGGCTCGATCGCCATTCAAATGACAGCGTTGGTTTCCCCCAAAAGTGGGCGGGGCCGTAAAGTGACGTAGATGTTACTCTCATCTATGAAAATCGATAGCCTACTGCTATAATTAACCACATATCGAGCCCGATCGTCGATTTCAAATGGCTTAATGTAATTGTTTGCCTGTCTGGCCATTGTAATCGGGCTCTTTGAAGATCCAAAGATCCACGGTTTTCTTACATTTCTGATCGGATTGGCAAAAACTTCAGAATTTGTATTGACCGCCATTCAAATGACAGCGTTGTTTTCCCCCAAAAGTGGGCGGAGCCGTACTTTTTGCCCGGAAGTGACGCATTTATCAATTATTTGTCGGTGACTTTGTAGGATGTGCTGTACGGTAATGTTTAGTTTACATAAAGAATTGTCTGGTGTTTCCCTGGTCCTTATTCTAAAGGCAACAAAAAGCACTTTTAAGAAAACAACAACAACGTCATATTTCATCTCTCATTGCTTCCTGTTCTCCCACCTTCACAGCCCTGAGGACGGTCAGACCCTCGAACGTCTCGTGAGGCGTGTGCGGAGATCGTCGCCCCCGGTAACCATCTCCGGCAGATGCTGCAGCCTATCAGAGACGAGAAGAAACGAGATGAGTGTTCCTGTTTCTACCTGAGAGGACTCTTTACATTACATTACATTACATTACATGTCACTTGCTTTTATCCAAAGCGACTTACATACTCAATACTGTGGACAATCCCCACAGGAGCAATTTGGGGTGAAGTGTCTCAGGGACACAACGACATGCTGACTGCAGTGGGGTTTGAACCTGTGCCCCCCTGATCCGAACACCAACGCACTAGTCCACTACGCCACACACCACCCCTTTAACATATATATGTACATAAGTAATATAATCACACTGTATACATCTGTTCATATCTTTATACTGTCTATACTATACTATCACTATACTGTCAATACTGTTTATACTGTACATACTTCATCTGTTTGTAGCCTATTTATAATTATTCATTCATTTATTTATATCATGTAGTAGACACTTGCACTGCTATTTAGCACTTCTGGTCAGATGCCAAACACCGTTTCGTTACTAGTACGACGTAATGACAATAAAGTTGAATCTAAAAATAAAAAATAAATCTAATCTAAAAACAACATGGACTTACTGTTGCTAGCTGCAGTATCTTTTCACACTCCTTCTCAGTCATGACGTCGTCCAGAACTACGCGATTCGTCCCGTTTAAAACCGTGTCGTCCATGGTGATGGTCACGCCCACCTGAGGAACCGGACCCCCTGGAGAGAAGACCAGTAAGAAAGGATGAGAGAGGAAACTTTAACTGTTTAACTCGACTAAAACAAGAACTGATTGTCTCACCTGCATAGAATCCACTGTCATCCACCTCCTCCTTCTTCTCTCCCTCTTCCATTTTCACATTTATTTTCTCTTTTACAGCTCTGAAAGTAAAAACAATACTAAGTTGACGTCACATGCACTTCTTCAAAAAGCTCTTGCAACTGAATGGAGATCCTTCTTTCCCATCTTACCTCCAATTATCCCTCAGTGATTCAGGCACTACATCTTCCGGAGTCCAAAGATCCTGAACGCAGAGCAATCATTAAAATGTGGATATTATTTTGTGGAGCAGGAAAGTGTTCATTTGCTTCAGTACTTACTGGATCTGTGAAACTGAAGTCAAGGTTCTCCATGCCGAAATACAGAAGCTTCTTCTCATCTAAAGCACGATTAATGTATCCGACAATCTCCTGTGGGACAAATACAAACAGAAATGGAGTCAGAATGAAGAAAATCAAAACAATTAAATATATATTTGAAGTCTGCATGTCTTTAATGACTGAACAGGGTTTTCTCACTTCTTTTTGTCAAGTAAAAACATCAAATTAACTATGATTATTAGAACAAAAGTGGTGGATTTAATGTAATGGTCTGATATACCTGAGCAGGCTGAGTGCCATGTGACTCTGTGTCTCCTCCTAGTGTCTCAGAGTAGAGCTGCAGGTTGTCTAAGGAGTCATGGTCGGAGGGGTAGAAGAGGAGCAGAGAGCGCAGCGTCTGCACGGCTCCACCAACATCACCAGCTGTAGGGAAGCAGACATGCAAAATAAGAAGGAGTGGCACTCGAAAAATTATTGTGGTATGATGCAAACTTCACTGTATAGTGTTTGTTTTAAATATAAATCAAAACCGCATCCATTCGTGCAAAATCCTTGTTAGCTATGTATATTTCTGTGTATTTACTTTGATAGCAACAAACCCAGATTCAAATGGCATCAATGTGTTTGCATACTTTGCCAATAATGCTTAGTTTTTATGTTAATTACATGACATTCCATTTAGCTAATGCTTTTCTCCAAAGCAAACTCACAAGAAGTGCATTTAACCATGATGAAGAAATGTTTCTAAAAGCAAGAATTCTGCAGGTCCATTAGTTTTCAATAAGCCATTGTAAGTGCTACTGCATTGGCTTCAGTGCTACACACAGAAGACAGATGTTTATGTTATATTTCGGCTAAGGTGCGGTGGAAACAGATTGGTTTTCAGTCCGTGACATTAGATGAGTAGACTTTCTGCTTTCCTGAAATCTATAGGGAGCTCCTTCAAACATTTTGGAGCCTGCTTAGCAAACAGGTGTGTTTTTGTTGAGCGGTATCTGGGTCCAACTCGCAGTGAAGGAGTGACAAACTCTAAATACAATTCAGAATAAGGTAAACTTACAGCATCAGAACATTTATTGATATTCAGCTTGACCTCCAGACCCTGACCTTTAAACTGTGCGATGTGCCGATGCTCCAGCTGTGTGGGCAGGAAGTCCTCCTGAGAAGAAATCCTCCCGGGTCTCGTGGCGACCTGAGTCACACAGGACTGCCGGCACGAGAGCAGGGAGAGGGAAAGATCTAGAAGGAAAGAAACAAAATGACAGCGATGAATTCCTTTCCCTATTATCCTGTTTCTCATCAATATATTATAGGTCTCAGATATATACAAAACATGTCTCTGAAGTGTTTGGCTCCAAATACCAAACAGATCATTGCAGCATCCCATAATCCCCTCTGTTTCAGCCCTGTTTCAAAAGTGCTGATTCTCTGTCTGTTACTTTAGATGAAAATAAGGAGCCCCTCCCCACGCCCCTCTGAGAGATATTTGGTTACAAAGAACACAATGGTGCTCTAGGAGGAGATTCAGGTGATAAGGTGGGGGGGGGCTAACGGTACGTCCACACAGCAGCGTTAAAAAAATCTTCCAACGCTTCTGCCCATTCACTTTGAATGGGGTCACGTCACTTTGCCTCACTTTTCGCCGAACTGCATTGTGGGAAGCAGAGCGGAGATTTGCTGGCGTTTCAGGCTGCAAAAGTTGAGCAATGTTCAACTTTTGAAGCTTCTGAAGCTTCGGTGGAAGCGTCAGCCAATCAAATCCCGTTTATGCAGCCAATCAAACCGCGTGTATGCTGGGAGAGACACACCGCAGGTCATTTCCTCATATTCCAAAAAAATGGAGCAAGCTTCAACGCACGCCGCTGTGTGGACGGGCCGTAATGTTTACACAAGCCAAAAAATCGTTATGACATCATAAAGTGACCAAAATCTGATCAGCTCATTTTCAGACAGGTTTTTATATAAATGGATCAGGACAGAAAGAGAGAGAATCTTTTTTCCTGAAACGTTCAGAGTCTCTTTACACAGAGGGGACAACAAGTGGATTTTGCATAATAGGTTACCTAATGCAGAAAAGTAAAACCTAAATCTAGGTGTCTTTTGTTGTTGTTGTTGTTGTTGTTTACCTGCAGCCTGCTCATAAACGCTCTTACTACCGTCCACCCCCCTGTCCTCTGGCAGTCGTTGGGAGGCCATCTCACACTGCAGCCGGCACTCGTCTGTCTGCCGCAGCGTTTCATTCACACACTCTTTCCATTTCTCTGCAGCTTTCAGCCAGTCAGAGGAGGCCTCATACTGAACTGCAGAATCATACAGGACCTGGGTTTGAAAATGCGAAAAAGGGAGAGAAATAAAAGTGTATTCAAGATGAATATGATGCTTTTGATATAATGAAATAATAGTAAAAACTTAGACATGATCTGTTCAGAGTAGAAACATTGGGAGGCATGCTATTACCATTTTAAACAAGCCTTATCCTGTTATAACAAGTGTGTCCAAACAGACAAATAAGTTGATCAGGCAGAATAAATACATCCAGGGTTAGATGAGATGGTTATATAAGAGAGAGTGAAGGTGAAAGAGAGGAATTCAGGCCCTCAGGCCAGGGCTGTCTTTCCACATTGAACATATTTCTCAAGAATAGTGAAGACTGTACTATCTCTCCAATTGATGTTGATAGATTGGCCCTGTTTATCTAAACAAAATGATGAAAATATATATAATTCTATGATGGACTCCTTGCCTAAAGTTTTGGCAGGTGCATTTTTGTTGTTGTTGTTGTGGTAATACTTGTTTTGGCCCAAAGAGGCTGAAGTGGACCACTACCCCTTTGTGCTTAATAGGACAAAAAACATTCATGATTTATTCCATATGAGTTACTGTCATTTCTTTACACACAATTGCTTTTAGTCCTATTGAGAACATTGGTTAGTGGTGATATACAGCCTCTTGTGGCCAACATGTGTATTGCAACAACACCCAACAAAAATGATTGTGAAAAAATCTAATAATACAAATGGAAAAGATTGTTTCTTACAAAAAATATGCCGGCAAACTTTTTTCAACCTGTTCTTAAGTCAAAAACAAAGGAGATCAAACATATTTAGATCAGGCTTAGAAAATGGATCTTCAGATTTTTACCTAAATTCTGAGCTCTACTTTACCCATATTTAGTTTTGTAAATGAACAGGAAAAACAGTGTAGTGCATGGACATGAAATTAGATTACGTGTATGGAAATATAACCGTTGCAGTTGAACAAAAACATACAGAAACTCTTTATTCTTCTCTCCTTTAAAAAATGTTATCCTCCATCCTTCCTCACCCAATGATTCTCATTCTCCAGCTCTCTGTCCTGGAAGGCCTCCTCCGTCACTCCCTCCATCCGTCTGTACTTCTCTATGTTGTTCCTCATCTCCAAGTGACTGGGGTTTGCCACAAAATAGGTATGAGCTGCAGACGCCGCCTTCTGTAACTTTTCCAACTTTTAAGCAGAATGATGAGAGTAAATTATGTTAGACAATCACAGCTAAGACTTTGAGCTGTATGCATGTATCATTGAGCTGTATCATGAGAAATGAACAAGTATTAGTAGGTCATAGATCTCTACCTTGTAGTAAGTGACCTGCAGGAAGTTGTAGGGGTTACGAGATCCAAATTCATAATCTATGTCGGTAGAAACAGGAAGTTGTGCTGTAGGTGACACCGAGCGTCCGACACAGAACCGCAGACATTCAGCTCTCTGCTGAACCCAGTCCAAGGTCCACAGATCATGCAGACTCCCCTTCTCAGAGTCTGACAACACAGAAAACATTAGTTATTTCTTAAAGTGAAATATGCTGTACCATGCAACATTGTCCATCCATTATACCAAAGATAGTCATTTCTAAATGATAGAAATAGTGTATGCATCATCAACAATTTGAGTTTATACATGTATGCACTTTAAACCTAACTAAATAAAAGAGGTTGAAGTGAAATTAATGATTTTCTGGTAAAAATGCAAATCTTTTATCTCGTAATTATTAAATTCCCGAATGAAGACATATTTTAAGAAGTGACAGATTTCCTCTCCTTACAAACAGAGAAATGTATCTATTTGTATATGTACAGTATATATTGTTCTTATTCCTGCAACTTACTTATATATTTATGTCTATTGCAATGTTTTACTGCAATACTTTATTTATTTAGTGTCTTTTATGTCTAAAGTATATGGATTGTTGCATTGTTGGAGGAGTCTGGGACTCTCAAGAGTTATCACAATCCTTATACTTTATTTATTACGGTGTGAAATTGGGTTGCACCATTTTTATATACAATTAAATCCAAAATATTTATATACATGTAAACATAGGAAGTTAAAGTAGAGTAAATATGTGAAATAAAACTGTGTGATTAAAGAATATAGTAGAATTAAATATGTATGCATGCAAACATAAGAAGTTATTGTAAAAATGTGCAATTAAAATATATATTTTTTCAAACAAAAAAACAATATGCATATACAATTTTGTGAAAATGTGCACGTATTTAACACTAATTAACATGCAAAATTGTGTATATTAAGGCTGCAAAAAATATCAATTGCCAAAAAATACTTTGTTACGCATTTGACAATACCTTTGAATCTACAATTCTTTGAGTATATAAATTGTACCTTACCCAGTCTGTTGAACGCTTCTCTCCCTGCCTCCACACACTCCTCATGACACTGCCTGCGTACCCGGGAAAGGGACTCCTTGGTCAGGATGGCTTTCTCCAGAAGCTCCGCTGCCTTCACCCACTCCTCACCGAAATACGACCGTACCCCGGTGTAATACAAGAAGTCGTACGGCTGCGGCAGGGACAACACATTAGCGCTGCCTCTACCCGGGGTCGCTGAGGTGAAACTAAGTAATGTTATTAAAACAAAATGAAACGCCACGTATACAGTGAGATGATCAGCCTGCAGCAGCGCCATGGTTTCAAGAAAGAAACCCCGAGAAGGAGAAGAGGAGGGACTATGGAAATACTGGGGAGAAAGTTTCCTCCTGTTTGTGGAAAAGTATACGCTTTCAGTATAATTTCACATGATGTATCTACTACTATACAAAGTTAACGTCTCCTGCTGTTCAATTATTGTGTTTAATTCAAACTAAATGTAACGTTTTTACTTGTTTTGAGGTCATTGTAACGCCCAACGATGTCTTTAAGGGGTTTACGTTAACTTTCAGGCACGTTAATTTGCAGTTAGTCTTTGTGGCCGCGAGAGGAAGCAGTTGGTTGACATCAACGGACTTTACCGTAAATACACAATATGAGTCACACAAAGTTTATTTATATTGTACATCTCATGCGACAGGCCTGTTCAATACACGCTATGGCGTACAATTGATGCGCTTCAAGATGAAAAAAGACAACCATAATATATACTACTATTCAATTAATGAACTGATTCTTCATACACAGACGTAGGCTTACATGTAAGCAGCGACTCTGCTTTTCTAGATGCGATGCGAGTACTGCATTAGAAAATCACGACGTTGCCGATATGCTAAGCATTACGGTAATGGTGTGCGGGCAACTGAGTTCTTTCGGCCTTCCCTCAACACAAGGCAGCATCTCATGATTCATTCAGCCAAACACAGACACCACAAGACGGGCTAGACAACATACACTATCCGAGCCGGGAAATCAAGAGGCTGGGGGTCCAAACTCAAAGGAACAAGTTTCCCACTAGAAAGGCGGAACTAGCTATCTTGTCATGGCGGATGTTGGGGAGGTTTTGATGTCGGTTTTGTCCACAATTCGGGTTCCGAAGCCCGGGGACCGTGTCCACAAAGACGAATGCGCCTTGTCATTTTCCTCTCCGGTGAGCCATTTTCCCCTTTTACAAATCAAAATGTCAACTAATAAACCGTGTTGTTTCATTTATCATTCCCCTTGACTCCCTGTTGTGTTTATCTAATGCAACTGTGTGTCAGGGCTGTCTTACTATAACGCGCTGGCTTCCTATATGTTCCTGTTTAGACCAACTAGCATGCTAGCGTCAAGCTAAGCTAATACTGCACTGTAATGGAAACTTAGCTGCTATAGCTAGTTAGCTAGCTATGTCAGTGCAACTGCTGTCAAACTAGCTATCAAGCTAACTGAGTCGCTTTATGGTCACAACTTTAGCAGGGTAGTAAATATCTTTTTAGCTTTTCATAGCATATAGTATTTCCACCTTTTAGGTTACAGTTGTTTGTGGAATTTGATATCATTAAACCCGTGTTGGGCTCAATTGCAAAAATGTGCAGGTTCAATTCACACACCTTTTTATTTATTAATACAATAACCAGTATTTATTCCACTTTAATATTACATTCTGTCCTTGTTTATCCTTTTCTATTTACATGTAGGCTTCTGCATTTACTGGGCCACATGCAACATTCTCTGCAACATTTAGCTCATTGTATTTTATTTGACGTGTATAGGCTAGTTGTTTTTTTCTACATTACTTGAACATTCTTCTTGAAACACAATCCTTCCAAATGTTATTTTTACTCTGTTTCTTCTTGCACTATTTAATAGTCTTTTTTAAAATATTTTTTTTTTATATAAATACATATTTATGTTGCATTGTTGGAGGAGTTGTCATTGCCTTAACTACACTGAAGCTCCTGTGCATATGACAATTAAGCCTTTGAATCTTGAATCTCAATGTATAGCTATTTTTCTATCAATTTGTGAGTGATGTGAGATGGGTAAGACATCCACATTCCTTCATCTTCAACTTCCCATTGTTGTGTCACAATGTAAAGACATCACGACAGGTTGTGACATTTAACATTGTTTTCTTTTGCAGGAAAGCGAAGGAGGCCTGTATGTGTGCATGAACAGTTTCCTTGGCTTTGGGAGGCAGTATGTGGAACGGCACCATGCCCGGACTGGCCAGAGGGCTTACTTCCACATCACCCGGACTCGCAAAGCTAAGGTGGATTTATTTTCCTGACCAATCAATAGACCAGTCAATTAAATGTAAAACTTTTGACACCATCCACACCATCTCTTAACACGTCAAGTGAACTTAACTTACAACCATTGATATATTTTGTCATTCCCACAAAAGGAAGATGACAGTAACTCTGGATCTGGACACCCGCCCAAGAAAAAGCCCACCAGACTGGCTATAGGTTAGTGTATGAGAGCATTTTTACATAAACACAGATACATTAAATGTCTTCTTTTGAGACTGAGCTGTGTAACCATCATATTGTTTTGTCTTTCCAGGGATTGAAGGAGGGTTTGATGTGGAGCAGGAGCTGTATGAGGAGGACTATAAGGTGGTCATTTTACCTGACAGACAGGAAGTGACATCAGACGACCTTGCAACCATGCCTGACGTTGTGAGAGAGCGGGTGAGATATCTTTTGTCTTTTTCTGGCAAGATAAATATTTATCATTCAGTTAGGGGGGAAAAATCGCCACTTTTGTATATATCCAATTCCAATTGGTGTTGATAGTAAATGTAATTGATTGAAGCAAAAAAAAAAGAGAAAAAAGTCATGCTATATTGACATAGAAAGCTGAGTTTGCAGCTGCAAGATGTGTTGTTAAATCTGCATCCAGCGCAGTCATGCTGTGTGACAGTGGCGTAGTTTGATGCAAGGAAGAACTACATCTGTTCCTGCTTGACTTGTAGTCTCCAGTAGGAGGCTATGTAGCCAGGAGGTGTGCAATTTCTAGACACACTACTCTTCCTACCTGCCTTAACCATCCTGGTACTTCAAACCATCAGTGATCAAGTAGTTTGGAAGTTTTATTACGAGCTATTAGTCAGGTCTAATGTCTTTCTTTTGACTACCATCCCTCAAGGTGTCCCTGTCAATGGCGGGGATCATGTCAGCCGACTCAGTGTCTCATGCCTTACAAGTTCAGCAGTGGGATGGAGAGTTGAGACAGGAGTCAAGGCACGCCCCCGAACTGAAACAGCTTGACAACGGAGTCAAGATCCCACCCAGGTGAGGCGTTAGAGCTGTCTCTTCAAAACACCTACCATACAGTTCCTCATAACTGGGGGACTTTATACAAATGTTTCTCTTATTTATATGCTGTCAATTGATGGAAGAATGTGCAAAAAATGGCAATGATGCTATTGCATTTAGCATCCGTTATTGCATTAGTCCATTACTGCGTTATAATATTTAGAATAGAGATAGCTGTTCGGTTTTATAAGCCGAAGCCTGCAAGATTTTTAAAGCAGTGCAAGACATTTTTTTTTACCTGTGTCTTGAACATCCTAGTGGCTGGCGGTGTGAGGTGTGTGACCTCCAGGAGAACATTTGGATGAACCTGACGGACGGCAAAATGATGTGCGGCCGAAGGTATTTTGATGGCTCCGGGGGCAACAACCACGCCCTCCTCCACTTCCAGCAGACTGGATTCCCTATTGCTGTCAAACTTGGCACCATCACTCCCGATGGAGGAGGTACGCAGATAGCTCAATTCATTATTTTTTGTGGTAAAATCTGAGACATTTCAAGTGAAATTCAACAGCTTTCTTTTATTTACTATGTTGAAGATGTTAACATACATGCAATCAAACTTTTGTTTTGATGACAACAGGCTGCCAAAAAATGCTTAATCCAGAAACCCAAATTAGCTTAATTGCAAAAGTTCCTTTTAAAATAACAAACAACATGAATACTTGTTGTCGTGCACAATCAAAAATATTCACCATGGAAAAGGGCACTTTTTACATCAGTAAGCATGCTAATTAGCTGCTCAGCTAAAACCTGCCCATTTATATGCTGGTGTGGGCCTGACTCTTCATTACTATAGCAAACTGCACACTGTCTGATCATGTCTTATAAACCACAGTTCAATTGGGTTTACTTTGTCTCTCATTCCCTGCTGGCCATTAAATCAATATATTAAAACTCAGACACCGACATGCTCCTCCAGCTGACTAAGATAGTACGGCTTCTGATACGGTTTTCTCACATTTCATCAAAGAAATATTCTAAATATTTCTAATAGCTATAAAGGGATAATAAAATGGGACATTGGTTTAATAGCAAGGGCATCATATTACAGATATTTAGTGTTAAAATTGAACAGACTATCTACAATTTGTGCACTTGTCTCAAGCTTTGGCCTTCATTGCCCTCATTGTCTCTTCTGTTTTTGTATGTCTAGATGTGTACTCCTACGATGAGGATGACATGGTTCTGGATTCCAAGCTCCCGGAGCACCTGGCTCACTTTGGCATCAACATGATGACCATGGAGAAGGTATGTTCTGTGTTTCTGAAGTTCCTAGTGGGAGCAGACTTGTTTCTTTTCTATTCTGTTTTTGTCTCTCTCTCATTGATACTGGTTTGCTTTATTCAACACAACAAGTTGCTACAAGTTCTTGTAAAAACAAGTATCGCTGAAACACTCTGTTTAACGATTGAAATTCAGATATATCTGATCTTTTTTCTTCTCTGTTGGCGGATATCCAGACAGTTGTGGCTGGCTCTATAGAGGAGACATTGATTACCCAGTATTACTAAGGGGTTTAACATTCAGCTGCAGTGTTAGAGAGCCAATCAAACTCTAATGCCACACAAACGTGTCCTACAGAAAAATCGAATCATTGAATAATTTGCCCACTTATTTATTTGATTGATTATTTCCCCGTGTAAATGTTTGAATGCCAGCACACTGTTGACGGACACAATCTATACGTTTACATGACATCATGTAAAGAGAGATCGTTACAAAGATCATTATAGCTGTATTACTGATGGACTACAACAAGTGTTCTCTAACTTTTAATTAGGGCTGTCAGTCGATTAAAATATTTAATCGCAATTAATCGCATGATGTCCATAGTTAATCACAAATTAATCGCACATTTTTTATCTGTTCTAAATCTACCTTAGAGGAATATGTTACTCTACTACTACTACTATAATACTCTTATCAACATATGAGTGGACAAATATGCTTTATGCAAATGTTTGTTTATTATCATTGGAACAATGACAAATATTCTCCTGAGTATTCTCAACACAACAACCTGGAACCTCTCTCTCTCTCTCTCTCTCTCTCTCTCTCTCTCTTCTCTCTCTCTCTCTTCACTCTCTCTCTCTCTCTTCTCTTCTCTTCTCTTCTCTTCTCTTCTCTTCTCTCCTCTCTTCACTCTCTCCCAACCCTGTGTACTTCTCTGCACTG